ATGAACATTCTACGTTTAGACCCATTACTCTAATCGTAGCAAAATTACTCTAATTGTAGCCGCTATTACAAAGACTACATAACAGACTTACTTGGCTTTATTTTAAGGCATATATCTCGGTTAAGTTCTGAACAAAAAGCAAACCTTGTTTTTGTTGAAAGGAATTGTGTTTTGTTGTCCACACAAAGGAAGTATTCCTGTTACGACGTTGTGTTAACCATCTTCTGATCTATGACGTTGTCGGGCTATTTACTCGTTCTTGGTATTTCTTATCTCTTCTTTAGATCTTAGTTTAATAAGGAGCCTCACATACCTGTCTACGTTTGAAGTGTTTCCGTGCAACTTTCCGTTCTGAATTCAAAGAAACTCGCTGTTTAAGACACTTAACAGCATACCTGACAGGGGCAGGCAGTATAGAGTTACGGAAATTTATGTAGTGGCGCCTGGTAAATTCTCGGATCTAAATCCCTACTATGTCGTGCCGCAGGCAAGGTTTGTATAGCGCTATTGTGAGAGGGAGACTTAGTTATTGACATAACAACAACACAGTGACACTAGTGAGGTCTTCTACAACTATAGATACACGAAAGCAAATTATTTACAAGGTACGTACTGGGTATATCAGTACATGGCTTTTACCTAATAGTATCATTAACGCTATCTAAAAATTCTGTACTTCTAATAAATTAATAAATTCTGTAGTCTCCAAGTAGGGGATTTGGCTTCGGATTATTTTTTACGCGTTCTTACTATAGATGTTTTATCGGTCTTTGTTTTTGAACTGGCTACAGCCTTGCAAATGGATACGGTCTTGCCAATTTGATACTGTAATTTGCAGCCAATAAAATATCTGCTTGGAAATTAAACATTCTTTAATATATTGCACTTGCATGCTATCGGACTGTCTATTTGTAGATATTACATTATTTAGATAGTCACAAGAGAAGAATTTCAATCCTACCTGTGCTTGAAGGATGAAGAGAGTTGATAGCACACCGACAGGCCGGGAGAATGCCACAGTCTTACCCTGAAGACAGAATGTAACAAGTTTGTTACGTCAGTCTCAAGGCTAGGCCGGCTAGTCAGACCGTCAACTGACACACGCCCTAACACACGTACAAGAACTGTTACATCAATCAGTTTATCAAATATGGAACAGCATTACGGGTGTGCGAGAAGTATGTGTCTGCTTTGTCAGTAAACCTCCTAATATGAGGCCACACTGATTTAATTCTATTGATGACATCCGACTTTTTTACACACATTCTTTATTGACTTTCGTATGGTCTAATAGAACCAAGATAGAACAAAGCTAAATACACAATACACACATGTATTATAATATTATGTATGAATTAAGTCATCCTACATACAGATAGAATATATAGCAACAGATGTTTGACTATTGTCTAACATGTAGTCTCTGAAAAAAGATTCAAACATACTTTAATGTATTTCCCTATTTGCACACTGTATGCATCTCCTCTTAAAATCTATTTGAATTTATCTAATGTGTCGAAATCATTTGAGCAAGGGGAAAGAAAAGTGGATAGCAATAAAATTCTTTCCCTTCTGCCCCAACCATAATGTAAGTTGAATCGGCCCAGCTATGTGACTAGGACAAAAACCCCTAAAGGTATAACTTCAGTAGAATGTAGACTATGTCACACCGAGAGGTAAACACATTACCAAACCACTGTTCAATTTTACAGATACTTATGATAAGGGGCCGTCAGTTGTTGCTGAGTTGGTGCCGCAAAAGACGTTTTATCGCCAGAAAGCTGGTAGTAGACGCTCTTGAGATCTTTCAACTATGGTTAGGGGTAGGTCGGGACAAGGTCGGCTGGTGTTCGGCTGCGCCAGTCAAATGTTTCCAAATGTTAAAAACATTATGGTGTGGACGGGAGGTTCGGCCTTGGTTGGCTGATGGTCGGCTGATGTTTGTGAGTAGGTCGGGACGTAGTAGACAGTCAAATGTGCCTAAAATTTAACTAAAATTCGATTCATTTAGAATCGAAAGGTAGGTGTGGCCTAAATCTGGTAAGACTGCTCCTTGGTCGGCTGGTGTTCGGGGGAAGGTTCTGAATGTGTGACAGTGGCTTAATACAGGTCTAGCTATATATAGACGTCGACAAAATCCATTCAACTTCTTCTTTCAACACATTTTCTAAAACGAATCGATTCATCAAGTACTAGTATATTCAGTCGTGAAAAACATCCAATGCACACAATATAGGAAAACTGTCTCACGATGTGACCCACTTGTATGAAACACTAGACGCCTGTATTGTCCAAAAGGAATGCCCTTCTATACAATAAGTCACGAAGCAGCTGTGAAAATATTCAAGCATAACTAACAGGGAAAAACTAAAGCTGGTTGCATAACCATGTCACTTAAATACTAGCTATCAAACGTTTTATCATACACCTTTATGATATAATATCTATCTCTTTACTGAGGATGATACGTGTGATGAAAGCAAAAGTAGTAATCAGGAAAACAAAAGAAACACTAAACACCCCTGAAGTCGTGCTTTCCATGTGTCAATCATGCTGCGGTAGGTGGTCAGACTAGTGTGCAGTGTTTGGTGTTCGTACACTGCACGACATCTTTAAGTACGCGTTTAAAGCTGCGTAAAGGCACACAAGAGTGAATGAACGGAACATTTACGCATGCTTTAAGGTGTGCATAAAGAATGGATTCTTGGCAGTGGACGTGGTTTTGTACATTACACGGCAACGGTAAAGATGTATCCATCGCACTTTGTCGTAACTTTGTCGTACAGTTATCACAGTTAACCGACAAGAATCTAAACCAGCTTTTTCCGTAACAAGACAGCTTAATAAATTTGACAGGACATGCACGTACGACTATTTTCTCAGTTTGAGATCGTGCGACGATCGCAAGACAATCATACGACGTCGACGTACTTGACCGGACTGTTACATGAAGAAAATCTACTTGCTAAAGTTTGTTCTGTATCACAAATGTCTATACTTTGTTGTTTTGCTTTTAGTCTTAAAGGTTTGTCTAGTCGTCACTGATCATATCAACAAGGTATATATATACACGCCCTAGAGAGCAAAATGCATTAATACATATGTATATGTGAACTGATTTCTTACCTGTGCGTACGTGTGCGTCCACACCTGACGTAAGAACACGTGTACGTACTACGTACGTATGACAGGTAACGTCTGCACACCTCACGTCGACGTACTTTCTATCTACAGTCTGACACACGTATCATTGTCGTCACCTCTGTTATTGTTTGGGGTCGATCCCATAGCCCCGCCCACCTCCAAAACGTACATGCAGCCACTCTCTCATTGGTCGAACCTGCAGATACCATTCTGTCATTGGTCAGTGAACAGCTAATTGAGGTTCGGTATCGGTCTATCTTTCACATTCCTTTCCATTTACAAACACGCAAAAGGCCGGAGGCGTGACATTACAAAAGTCGGCATGTACCAGTTGGTTCAATACTTTACCTTTGAGAACTGTATCAGAACTACGTGAGTTAATTACAGTAAACCCATTAGAGCAAAATCCGAGGTAGGTCGTACAAAACCTTCAAATACTTTGATCTATTTCTTGATTATCCCTTTTGAAAGTGAACAAAGCCGCTTTGAACCATACAGGGCACACCCATGATGTACCTTAAGCCGTAACCTATTTCATACGTCGTATTGTTACACTGTTTTCTTTTCACTTGTAATGTTTATGTAATAGATAGTATTTATATAGTTCGTGCACAACTTAAGTATGGTTTTGTAGATTTTTTTAGCTCGTAATTTCGTGAGTCACTACCGCATGATTCAGCATCTTTACTTCTAGTGTACACTGGGTAGATTTATGACTTGTTAAATGTTTTTACATATTAAGATTTATCATGGTTGCATTTCATTTCAGTTACGCCAACGTGTTATGATTCTGTACTATCTATATCTGAATGTTAATTCATTCGTTCGTTCATTCATTCATTCTTTCATCTATTAATTCATTCATCCATTTATCCATCCATCCATTAATTCATTCATTCATTCACTGTACAAGGGGGATACTAGCCCTATCTTAATTGTGCTTCTGCACACATTGATATTACATCCATTACTATTGATTATAGACAATAACAATAACAGACATATTTCAAATGTATTTCATATTTTATTCGTATTGGACTGACGCCAGCATATACATTACAGGCATGAGGTTGAGAAAATGATTTTCATATTCATATCTTGTTTATTGTTACATAATTGCGATTTTGTAGTTCAAATTGTTTTGAGGAAAGTCTAAATTGTGTCACACGTAAATAGAGTAATAGTGCAAACTCCCTCGGCCATTCGACAAGATGTCTCAAACTTTCGCATGCCGAACTATAGTATTAGGAAAAACGGTATTGAATTAAGGTTGTGCGTTTTACATCATGATTGTTCCAACGCATTTTGATAGATATGTCTTCGTAACATCATTTTTTCTCTCTTGTCAACGAATGACCATGAAGTCTACACGGCATCCTTTAGAAGTGTGAACATGATTTTTAACAGGTAGCTGTTTGTTTGGGTTGTTTTCCTGTAGTGAGGCAGTTATATACATCCGACATCGCAAGTCTCACCACAAATACTTACACCAAGTTCCATATTGACATCATTTTCGTACAATAATAAGATGCACTTGACCGTGAAAAAGCAGAATATAGAACATAAGCTTCTCTTGCAGATATTGAAATATGAAAGCAAACTGATATAAAGCCCGTTTTCTTCTAAAACCTACAAAGAAAATGATGTATAAATTTGCACCACCACTTTTATGTTCGCTAGGCGGCGTTGTTGTGTAGACTGTATGTCTGACTAGTGGCGCCATCTAGCGAGACATATTGGCCATGCAGTAATGGTTCCCTTTACAATTTACTGATACTACACTTCAGGGACAATTTTCATGTATTTCAATGGCGTTCATGTAAAACAAACTTGTCATTTTTTGCATGTATGGCTTATTTTTTCCAAACAGTTTAAAAAAACATTCAAACCGTTTCAGTTGCAGATAAAGATACCTCTACCCAAGCCCCTGATTTTGGCTCCATCACCTTTTTAAGTCTTATGGCCGTTGTATTTTGACCTTCGTCACTTTCTGCTATTTAAGTACAGTGCTCTAAATTCTATTTCAAACAGTGATGATATGAATTATGACCATGCCCACTGAGGATTGTATCAAATACAGCTTCCAAACTGTATATTAATCAAGAAAATTTGCATTTTTCCATGTCAGAATCCTTCATGTGTAGTGCGCATGTGCCAACGTGATATTCAATGGAATGAAGCATGACGGGATGTGTCCAAAGCCATGGACAAGTCGAAATGTGCAATGCGCTAAATTACCGCTAGATGGCAATATTTCACCGGAATACAGCAAACCAATGCAGTCCGATTCCCTCTATAACAATACAAATGGCTGTACAAATAATACGTCTACCTTACGCCACCCTGTACATCAATATGTCGTATTGACCTGTCAAATAATAATTATTTTACAATTGCTTGATCATAAAAATCCACACATACGCAAAATGTTCCTTGTCTTTCGGCTCTCCTCGTACAAAGAGTTCATTGTCAAGTTCGTGAAGTTTCGACATCTTTCGGCGATCTTCGGCGGTTGTCATATCGTTCAGCGACTTGAGTTCGTTTCTATGACTCTACACATTGTTCAGACTTCGGCAGTCTTCGTAGTTCTTCGGCAGTCTTCGTGAGCCTTCGCGAAGGTACCGTAGTTCGATGCAGCCCGTTTTCCCTGCAGTTCATGTTATGGTCGCGTGGTGTCATTGCTGTTCTACGACACGGAGAAGCTTCGGTTGACCCTCCGACTCTTCTTCCCGATCGAGATTTTCGTGTATTTTGAAGAACTTCGGTAACATTCGGAATCCGAATGACTCGAATCGTCGGTGTCTACGTCACTGTCGTAGAACAGCTCGTCATCATCATCATCGTCAAGGTCGTCGTACAGTGCGCATGCGTCCTGCTCGGCCTTGAGTTCTTGTATCCCGACATGCAACTTCATGAGCTGTTGGATGAGTGCCTGATCTTGTGACCTCATCTCCAACTGTGGAAACACACAGGAAAGATTCTAGGTTAGAACTTTGAACAAAATGGTATCAACAAAACTGGCTGTTTTTCACAAACTATTCCAAAGGGATGAAGTATTTTTATCGCAGTATTAGAGGTACTTTTCGGGTAAAAAGAGCTGCGAAGTAACAGACGATATGCATTCGAGAAACTTCTCGAACTCTTGAGGACCGAGAGTTCGAATCGGCGGCCACCCCTCCCCCGTCCGTCAGATAGAACAAAGCCCCCCTCCCCCATGTCCACCTGTGCCATTCAGTCCGTAACATCTACAGGGCGAGCCTTTGGTCAAATATTGACCGACCCGTGAGTGTTATTGCTCCATCATTTCCTCCGTGTCTTACGGAATAACAGGTGGCGAGAACCGTTTGACAAACAGTCGCCGTTACCATGGAAACGTGAGGTAAACAATAAACAATTCGGTTGGCATGTGGGTAGATAATTTATCATATTGCACACTGTTATAAAGTGTATAAAGAAGACGTTATTTCCATATCATACGGACTTATCTACGACAATATTTTGCTCTGTAAGGCTGTTTTTTTATTAGTTTATTTCTGTTTACCGAGTTGGTATTTCAAAATTTTATGAGCGGTAAAAAATTACAAACGGAACAGGTGTTTCTCATGTTTATGCAGGTGTCTTTTTTCCTGTCACTAGCAGGATTTAAGAAACAACAGGTGAGACGTTTCGACACTGCTGAGCCAAAAGCTTGTCAGGGAATCTTCCCAGCTTAAATCCTTTAAAAGTAAATGACCAAGGTCGACTCAAGAATCTAACCGTTAGCATAGCTGCGTCTTGTCAAATCCTAAGACCGGTAGGAGGAAAACTTGGCTTTGTTACTTAAAGACGTAAGAGTGGTGTTAAGTTACACCTAAAAGAGCAGGATCTATAATTTCTTTCGTCTCTAGAAAGTTCTTTCTGTTTAAAAGCAAGATTTTGGAAGGCATTCTGTTTAAAAGCTATTCTAGATTCTTAAATTAGCACGTTCTTGTTGATTAAGATTTTAAAACTTTACACCCGTGTTTTGTTAAATGATAAGAACCACTAATGCCAAGGTCATCTGTGTTTGTGTGTCTTAAAGTCGTACGTGACTTAAAGAAAAGCAAACAGCTACACGACGACAACTTGGAGACAGACCCGACCGATGTGTCTTCCTTAGTCATCCTTCGAACATGTCAAACATGGCGGCACATCCGGGACCTTTAGGTATGATCCGGGACCTTTAGAGCAGAGGCAGGTTTATAGAAGCGCAACCTTTCTGCAATGTTTGCAAAAAAAATATGTCCTATTTTGGGAGCTTCGCTTCGCCTTTCATTTACTTAAGCTCAGATAGGGAAGACTCTTGGCTATTTTCGTCTTCAAACCTCTGTGTGGGGTACGAAATGTTCAGTGATTTCTACCACCTGCGCTCGTCTTCCTCTTCTACTGCATTCTAAGGCGTATGACTCAGAGAACACGTTTGGATGTGTTTCTTCTATATGCCACCTACGTAGTACGCTTTGTGAATTCTTATTCAGCAAATCGGCGAAATATTTCAACCTTTCCCACAAGCAAACGGCGAGATAGCCCTGGAAACAATAACTGAACATTGGGTCTGATGCTTTTTTCAGTTTTACATTTGAGCTCTATTTGTAGGATATTTATAACTGAAATCTAAAAAAGAAAAAGAAAAAAGAAAAAAGACAATCTGGAAACACAAAATGTTCCCTAAGCCTTATGACTGTATGAGGGTGAATAGGGTCTAGGGTCGCTGACCCACCAAAGCCATTGTACACCTACATCAAGACAAAGTAGCCTTGTTCAAATCACTCAACGACTTCCCGAGTTCCCTTCTTAATTGGTTCTCCTCAACTGGAACGCTTAAATAGTTTTATCCGGACGTCAGCGTGAATTAGAGCGATGTTTGATGGACTGGGTGAAAAGCCAAGGACATTCTGAATCACCCAAGCGGTCAACGGCCAAGGAAAGACAAACACAATTAGCTTTGTACACTTTCCTAAACTACTTGGCTTAATACTTAATCACAGTTTGTTTACATGAATGGTTTCCTTCCGATATTTCTCCATTACAGTTATTAATGAAAGACCGACCTAGTGTATGCTGTTCTCTCTACGTGATTTTCAGGTCTTTATTTCATCGCTAGACTTTTAATTGATATGGATACTGATCATTGTAAGGTTTCAAGTGCGCTTTTAAAAAGTGCATCGTGTTTAAAGGACAAGTAAAGTGATGTCAGTTTTAGTGCCTTTCAACCTAAATCCTGTTTGCAAAAGATGATTCAATGGTTTCTACCAGTCCCGTACACTGTCATTTGGGTGATATTTGACCCAAATCCATGTTCACATTTGATGATTTTACTCGGGAAACACTTTTGAACAACTGTAGAAATAGTGAACACCGAAGAGCGAAAAATAGGAACTAAGAAAAGCCACTGTTCTGTTGTCCTTCAAAATAAACTGTCGGCCTTATTTTTCTTGTCTGAAACGTACGGTGTGGTCCCCGTCCCTGTATGTGTGGGAACGTGGATCAAACAATACACTACTGCCCTGCAGACTTTAGTTGTTTCCCGCTAGTTTTCTTCTCTTGGTGCCTAAACACAATTACAACAGAAATGTCCACTCTGGAGGCGCCCAAGGCCCAGTAACCCTACCCCTACCTGCCGATTGTCCAGTGCACACTGACACCGTTATGTTTATTTTCTCTGCAGTTATTGAGACTTTCCTTATAGATGGTGATGTTTTTGGAACGTCGGTGGCCTTGTAACAACGATAGTGTTTTTCAGCGTAGCCGTTAATCACACACTGTTTGGTAAACTGACTTAACTATGATCTAACTTGTTTTCGAATATGCTGTGTTTTTCTGTGACCTATATGGTTAAAATATAGTTACAGTATCCTTGTATATTAAGGTGTCAATGAGTTGGATATTTTTGCAGAAGATTCAGGTGTTGGCCAGAGTGAACATAGTTCGCGATTCACGCAAACTTCCTAATCGCTCGGAAAAAATAGTTACCGATCCCGATGCAGGAAATTCTGCGGAAATGTGTATAGCTAACACATGTTTTCGATCAAGATGCATTTCTACACACTAAGCATATATAACCTTACAGGATATGACGGTGGTAAAATTTGATGGAAAATATGTGGCTGTTTCACTAAGAAAAACAAATTCATATGTATAAAACGAATTTCTTTTGTTCAGAAAAGCTGATACTTAGCCAGAATTACAAGTAAATGTTGTCATCGATAAAGAATTTCATCAATATTTACTGTAGTAATCCATACCCATGGCGTAGCGTTTTACGACAGTTGGCCGTTTTGCAGCAGGTATACCTGTTGAGGAACAAAAACCTATGGACCACACCGTACGTTCAATTCATCCACCGACAACCTTCCAAACACTTCCGCAAACTTGGCCTAGATAGAAAAGTAGGCTGCAGTTTCACCTAAACAGATCCTCTATTGGTAAACCTGTTGTCTAAACATAAGACACACACCTAGATGTGAGTGCGAACAAGACGAGAAGACGGTTAGAGTTGTTTCAAACCTCACACACTGCAAGAACGAACGTTAACTATATACAAAAGGCGGCACGCTTGGCGTAGTGATATCTCTGTATGTATACCAACACAGGAAGACAACAGAAATATGGAATCTATACCCGCATCCAAGGACCGAACGATGATACCAGATAGCAGAGTGATAAGTGTGTACATAATTACAGTCGGAGACAGTGAAGATATGACATCCATACCCGATACAAAGGACCGACCAAGGATAACCTAAAATAGATCAAGGAGGTTAAATTTAAAGCTTCTTGAATAGATCAAAGGAGACAAAAAGATATGCGAGGAAAATGACCTAAATTGTCGTGACTACCACAGTGTTCTAGTGACAAAAAATAATCTCCAAGCAGATCTTTTGCTGGTTGCAAAGACAGTATCAAATTGGCAAGGTAGTATCCATTTGCCACTCAAAGCTTAAGCTTGGGCTGACGTGAAAAAAAGAGCGGTAAGAACGCCTAAAACACGCTACACCAGCAGGCCGAAGGTTAATCACAAGAAGATAGTTTCGCGAGCCTATTTAAGATGAGAACGTTATAAGAGGCAGACCCATTCAGTATTCGAAATGACGAAGACAAATAAGGCCCTTCAAAACACTTATAAGACGTAAACAGACCGTCTCCTTGACACAAGTTTGGATCAGACAAGAATCTTGTAGTTTATCTCTGGTGAGAAGTACTCCTCACGCAAGACGCCAGCCTCCTTTGCAGACTTTTTTGCGGCGGCGTCAATTTTTTCGCGGAGCGACGCCTGGTGGAGGCTAGCGAAGAGTACAAGTACTTAGACTCTTAATTTTGCTGTGTACATCTATTGTTTCGAGGGTTCTGTTATATAAGTTAACAGTTACGCCAGACAAAGTAGTCTAAAAATACACCTGTAAAACTTTGTACCTTTGTAGTCTATAATTACTGTGTTCGTGGTAGTAGTTACATCGATAAAGCTGGCTAAATATACACACATTGTACCCTTGTTAAACATTACCTTACCTTGACATTACACTAACTACAACCAACATGTAATCAGTACTTGTCTGGACCTACAATAAACTTGTGAGAGTATCAGGTACATTCAGACACCCATTATTTGGACCCACATTTAACGGCTTTGCTTCTGTTACCCTGTGCTTTTGTATCCTTTCTGTTCAACCAATTACAGAATAGATAAACTTCAACGTGCGTAATATGCTGTCATTATCTCTTTAAAAGATTGCGGTAACAACCTCCTTACACGCACAGACTACAGTGTCGAGAAGAAAGGCTTTTATACAGTTGAAAATCCTCTATTTCTTGAGTGAAGACAGTACGGAACTTGTAGTGTCTTTATGTTAGCTGAAGTGTGCGTGATGTGGCAAATCCTTGTGTATAAACAACAACTGATAAGGATAAGAAGTGCTGACTTGTCTAAATCAGGTTTAA